CATTTCTAAATGTCTCTTGCATCTCTGCCTCCCTATTCTGTCACCACTCTCAGTTTTTATAGTCAAGACTTTGTCAAAAGATGTGTCATCTTCAAATAGTCCTTTGTAATTGCTAAATGCTCATAGTTTGATAAGTAGAGGTTTTTTTTAGATTTTTTTTTTTGCTTTTCTAAGAAAGCAATTATAATTGCATGAAACGGTGAAATATCTTTGACTTCACTCTCTCCTTTGCCCCATCACAACCACTGATAATTAACAAAAGAATAAGCTACCTGCTACACCGTCGCTAGCATGTCATTTCTTTATCACTGAACGAGTACTATATGCACTCATTTGGGCAGTGCAGAATTTGAAAATGTTATCCCTCAGATGAAGCAGACCTTAGTTAGCTTGGTGTTCCAGGCTCCTCCTTCTTTGTGCCTTGCCTATTGCTCCTGGGGCAATGCCTACCAATTCTGTTTTGGTTTACTTTTTGGTAATCATCAATAAAATCAAGCCAATAATCAATGTCTTAATAGAAAAGAATCAATAAAAATAAATAATGAAAAATATCTCAAGTTGTTTCTAAGGCTTAACCCATTGTACATATTTTTGATTCCCACTGCTAAATATAGTAAGTGCCAATTATTGAGTGCTCACTATGTGTTTGGCATATTACTTGTGGCGGCTTGCCCGATCACTAAGAAGAATGGCTAGAATTTAAACCAACTTAGTCTGACACCAATCCTGAGTTCCTGGGCTCTGCTCTAATTTGCCTTTGAAAAGTGGATGTCCATCTACTGTTGAAGATTTAGCTCAACCTCTTCCTAATTTTTAAAAATTAGAAGCAATCTAGATCTTCATAAGTATGGGATTGGTTAAATAGTAATGATGTATCTATTCATTGGAATAACATATACTTACATAAAATGAAGATGAAGATGAAAATTCATCAACATGGAAAAATGAGCTGTTGATAAACTAAACTAAGAGAAACTAAAAAAAGACAGATTTAAACTAAAAAAAATTTATAAATCAGCATATCTAGTAAAATTCCATTTTTGTGGACATCCCTGTACCCCCTCCAATACTTACAATATATCCCCCCATCCAGAGAAAAATCTGGAAGGATATACAACAACAAGTTTAACAATGTGATTGCTCTGTGTTATGCACTATTAAAAAGAAAACCACAAGCCCAAAATGGCATCACTCATGCTAAAGCCCACAATATGAAACTTAGATGTAACATCTGGTCTAATTGCAGTTTCAACCTCTCGCATAAATGTAATCCAGTCTGGGATTTTCTGGTCAAGCACTGGTAAGGTGATCTGTCACATAGGCCATCTCCATCCTCAGAAGAGGAAGGGGTGATCTGAGTGATAAAACCCCCTGCTGTTTCCTTCCCCCAAAAGGGGATGGCCTGGCCTAAAAATAACAATCTTTTGTTTTCTTTTGCTAATAGCTCCCTTGCCATGCCCTTCTTCCTATAAAAACCTTCCATTTTGTACAACCCCTTGGAGCACCTTCTGCATGCTAGATGGGAGGCTGCCTGATTCACTAATCATTTAATAAAACCAATTAGGTCTTCAAATTTACTTGGTTGAATTTTGTTTTTTCCAACAGGGCTAAATGTTTGATTCCTCCCAAAATTCATACATTGAAGCCCTAAACCATAAAGTGATGGTATGATGGTATTCAGATGGGACCAGTGGGAGGTAAACAGCGTTAGATGAGGTCATGATGGTGGGCCCCTGGACTGATGGGATTAGTGCCCTTATAAGAAGAGACACCAGAGAGCTTGCTTTCTCTCTCTCTCCAGGTGCACAGAGAAGAGCTCATGTGAGCACACAGTGAGATGGCAGTGCTTTTTGAATGTCCTTATTCCTCACGTAACTGTGAGGTATGCCGGGGGAGTATTGCTCCATCTCCAGCCACTAAAACAGTGCTTGGAACACCGTATGGGCTCAATGAATACTTTTCCAATGAAGAAAAAAGCATAAAAAATAATGTCACACATGCACATTTCTGAGCTACCTCTGCCTATTCTGGTGCGATTGAATTCTGTCCCCAGTAAAGGGAGAAATGGAGGTGAGTATAGGAAAGTTTCTCTTTTCCTCCAAGGAAAGAGACAATTACAGTAACCAGTGTCATGGAGACAGCAGCCATGCTCCCTGTGAAGCCAGAGTTTGAGGAGAAAAGGAACTATTTAACTTAAACTCATCAGATTTCCAACAAATCTTCATAGTTAATCTTAATCCTGATTGCATTCTGCCAATTGGACTTCTAGCTTCAACTGGTAAATTCGCCCAGTTTGGCGTTTACCCGAGACTTCCCTTAGCCAGAGAAGGCCCAGCGCCAGTCTCAGCTTTACTTCGCCCAAGAACAATAGTTGTAGCTTGTGTCTTTTTATTAATTTGTTTCTACCCATTGATAGAAAAGAATAAAATTATTCAAACATTAACACTTTATCTAGGTGCTATTACCACACTATTTACAGCAATCTGAGCTCTCACAGACATTATGACATTAAAAGGATTGTTGCCTTCTCTACTTCAAGCCAATTAGGCCTAATGGTTTCTATTGGCATTAACCAACCATACTTAGCATTCCTTCACATCTGCACTCATGCATTTTTTAAAGCCATATTATTTACATCCTCTGGGTCTATTATTCATAACTTAGACGATGAAGAAGACATTCTCTAGAAAGTAGGCATCTTATTTAAAGGTTTACATTTTCCTATAACCTCACTTATTATTGGAAGCCTAGCTCTCACAGAAATGCATTTCCTTACAGGCTCTTACTCCAAAGTCTTAATCATCAAAACCACTGACATGTCTGTGATGTTGTGATTTATAATAACAAATATATATTTGGTCTTTGTCCTGGTTTCTGGCACAGTGCCCTTAAAACCCTTGGAATTTTCTGTGATGAGAGCAACAAAGGTGTCTTTTGTTATGTTATTGAGGTGACTTTTGGAAAGCACTTCAGGATGGGGGCTGATCACCAGAGGAACCAACCATGAGATTAGAGAGTTGACGCTTTCAGACCTGACCCCTTGACTTTCAAGAAGGAGAGAGGGGCTGGAAGTTGAATCAATCGCCAATGGCCAATGATTTAATCAATTTTTATGTAATGAAGCCTCCATAAAAAAACCCACCCATTGGAAGTGGTGAGCAGAATTATAACGCTGGATCCCAACGCCTGAGCCCTATTAATGACACTCATTGCCACTTCCCTAACAGTGGTCTACAGCACTCCAATTATTTTCTTCTCACTTATACTACAACCTTGTTTCTCCACTCTAATTCTAATGAATGAAAGTAATCCTCTCCTAATAATTCTATTAAATGCGTTTTAATTGGAAGCATTTCCACTGGGTTTTTTATTTCCAACAACTAATCTACAAATAACAATACCCGACACCTAAAATTAATAGCTGTCACCATAACCCTCTCAGGTTTCATTCTAGCATTTGAACTTAACCTTATAACACAAAACTTAAAATTTAATCTCTTTCCCACCTATATAAATTTTCCAACCCCCTCGGTTTTTTTTCCGATTATTACTTACTGCCTCTCACCATTCAGCAATCTTTCAGCAAGCCAAAAACTAGCATCAGTATTGTTAGACTTAATTTGACTAGAAAATTTCTTACCCAAACCTATTTCCTATTTCCAAATAAAAACTTCCACATTAATTTCAAACCAAAAAGTCTTAATGAAATTATATTTCCTCTCTTTCCTTATTACACTAATTTTACTTGCTTCTATGTAATTTCGATGAGTAATCACCATAGCAATAATAATAATAATAATAAATAAAGAACAACCAGCTACCACCACTAGTCAACTCTCATAGCTAAATAATGCCGATATTCCTATAACATCTTCACTAAAAACCCCAGCATTTCCAGTACCATAAATTACTCCATCTCCTATGCTATTAAATTTATTTATCTATCTATCTATCTATTTATTTATTTATTTTTAGGAAGATTAGCCCTGAACTAACATCTGCTGCCAATCCTTCTCTTTTTGCTGAGAAAGACTGGCCCTGAGCTAACATCTGTGCCCACCTTCCTCTACTGTATATGTGGGACGCCTGCCACAGCATGGCTGTCCAAGCAGTGCCATGTCCACACCGGGGATCCAAACTGGCTGAACCCCGGGCCGCCGAAGAGGAACATGTGCACTTAACCGCTGCACCACCGGGCCGGCCCCTGTGCTATTAAATTTAAATACCAACTCCACCTCACCATTCTTTACAACTCACAGAACTACTAAAACTTCTACTAATAATTTCAAAAGAAACATTCCTAAAACAACAATATTAGAAACTCAAACCTCAGGGCATTCTTCAGTAGCTATCTTTGTAGTATAACAAAAACTTACCAATATTCCCCCTTCTCTGCATTATCTGATAGCTAACTGACAGTTGAAAAGTCAGTAAGTCCTGAGAAAGAGGGATTTAAGAGTGCTGACTTTGGAACCATCCACCCATTTATCTATTCATCTGGTCACTCATCCAGCCATCCATCTGTCCATCCATCCACTTATCTGTCCCTCTATCCAACCCTCATTTCCAAATAGTTATTGAGCATCCCCATGTGCTCTCACTAGGGATACAGTGGTGAACAAGGGAGACATCAGAGAAATCTGGGCTAGTGTCGTAACTCAGTCACTTAATGAAACTGAGTCACCTTGTCAAAGTTACTTGCTCTCTTTGAACTTCTTTCTTAATCTGTAAATTGGGGATTCTAATCTTTGCTTCACAGTGGAAAGGGTTAGAAGAAATACAGTGCACCTACGGAACACACTTAGCCAGCACCAAGAGCATAGCAGATGCTCCACAAACAGTAGTTTTGGCAGTTCCATATCTCCCTAAAGACCTGTGCCTCCCACCCCTCTGCCATACAGGACAGTATTTCTGTGTGATCTTCACACACGGCAGCAACAGGTCCCTCTAGAGCAATGTGTGGAGCTGAGGCCTGATAAGGATTGGTGGCACTGTCTTACCGGTCCCTGAAGAACAGGAGCTCCTTTCCCAGCATTGTCACAGCATCAAAGGATGAGCCGGAGTCACAGAGGTCAGGGATGGATGGATTACGAGGTGGGGCGTGGGGCATGGTGGGCTTTCCCAGGAATGCTCTCCGAGGTCCTAGGATTCAAAGTGACTTGGTCAAGATAGTACCAGGAATCTAGAGTCTGTGCTCTTCTTCTCTACAGACCCACTTTCCCTGCATATGACAAGGTGATAAAGAGCATGGCTGTTGATGGCGGGCAGACTGGGGTTTGAATTCGGGCTTCACTAGTTCCTGGGCTGTGTGATGTGGGCAAATAATTTAACCTCTCCAAGCCTCAGTTTCCTCGTTAGTAAAATGGGAGGTGGCAATAATAGTACCTATCTCAGAAAGTTTTTGTGAGAATTCAATAATGCCTGAGAAGCACTTAGTAGAGTGCTTGGCAGATGGTAAATCTCCAAAGAATGGTAGCTATTATTTTATCATTCTACACAACTTCCTTGATCGCTACAGGTGTTCCAAATTAGAAACGTATTTTCAAAGTTGCCACTGATTATTTGTCTAATTTAATTCTTTGACTCAATAAGATTATAACCGTCCTGTGTGTTTTCATATTATTTTTGTCCACTTCTGGGCATCCTGCACTGTGCAGAGCCTTTTACCAGGCATCCAGGAAAGACTGAGCACATTCTTGGGGCATTGAAGTACCCTGAAGGTGTTTGCTATTGAAAGGCATCTTCTGGGCGATCCTCTTGTAAAACAGGGACCCGCTGCTTGGGAAAGATGCTGGTGAGTTTTTATCTCCCACAGTGCGTTCCTGAGGACTATCTGCCAGCTACAGGAGAATGAGCTGGGGCTGCCTGAGCCGCTGGTCCCAGCAGGTCCCTGCCCGTGATCAAGTCTTGCTGTAACCAGAGGTGAGGATCAGGGAAGGAGTGCGGCACAGGGAAGGGCCCACGAAGGTGAGGGATGGGTGAGATCAGGGGTGGAGCAGGGTCAGCAATGGGGTGAAGATCAGAGGGGCAGGGAGGCTTTGGGAAAAGATCAGGAACTGGAAATTGGTCAGATCAGAAATGTGCTATCAATTTTTGAATATTTACTATGTGCCAAGTACTGTACTAATGGTCAAGGGTGGCAAGGTGGTCAGGGGTGGGTGATGTGTATGCTTCTCAGCAATATAAAACCATGTTTTTACATTTTGTTCATCCATGCAAAAATGGCCATATCAAAATATATGCTTCAGCTCCTGGCTGAGTGACAGTGGCTATCAGAATGGTGCTGGCTCTCTAATTCACAAGGACCTGTAAAGTGCAGGCAAGCCTTTGGGTTCAGTTCTTGTTGGTGGCCCACGAGAACTGCTTCACATTAGAGCTCTGCCAATGGGCACTCAGGAGCCAAGTTTGTAAAATGGAGACCTTCACAGCATTTTTTTCTTTCAGTCAAAGGGGAGACAGAACTGGCACATAAGCTGCCTCTCAAGTAGGTAGAGCTGGCTGAACACATCTTTGGATAAATTTGTCTTTTATGTCTCAGATTATATGCGAAATCTGATTGTAGATCTGTGTGCCCATTTTTAAACAGCCAGATGGATTGGCCAACGTGGAGGAAGGCATGAGGGTTCTAGGCTTTCCAGGTCCTTTTCTAGGTTGAGAGGATGAAGAGAGTCTCTGACAAGTAAAGGCTGAATAGCCAGGCTCTGAGGCTTAATGGAAATCAGTTTCCTAGATTTTTCTTCCTTTTACCCATTAAAGAAAACGTGTCAAATGTCTAATGATGTTTCAAGATTCCTTCTCCTGGATTAATGGATTTGTATTTCTGTTAAGGAAAATTGGATATAGAATTTCTAATAATCTTTTATTACCTTTGAAAGAATGTTAAGATGAGATAATTTTGAATATCTTGGGATACTTACTAATCTTTGAACCTCAGATGTCTTAGCTATCAAATGAGGAAAGCACTTCACATCCCACAGGCTGGTCATGAGGATAGTGTGAGATGACTCATATGAACATGTTTTGTAAACTGTAGATTGTCTATATGACTGAGTGGTGTAGTTATCATCATCATCATTGCTGTTTTTGGGAAGATAAAAGTCCCTTATCTGCAAATGGGTAAGCATTAAATATATGAACTATAAAATATAGCCATCCTCTCCCAATGTCTAACTGCTGACCTACACTCAAAAAACAAACGAATGCCTATATTTTCTATGGCTATCAAGGGACCAACATGCTTTGGAGGAAAGATGTAAAATTTAATCACACATTTTAGAAAAGAAAGCACTATTCATTTCTGGTAAATAAGCTCTTCACAAGAGGTCATATTTGGGGCTGTGGTCTCTAGCTTAATCTTTACCTATGCTGGTAACTCCTGGCAAAGTATGGTTTCTCTAAGTTGGAGACTGAATGCCTGTCACTTTCAGGGCTAGTGGTCAAAGAATTGTGAGTGAATGTACCATACAATGCCTGGATCCCTTTCACATCATCCTTGGGGAGATGGAATCCATAAGGATTCTGGTACTTATAAGTTGGGTACATCAGTGCTGATGGGTCTGTGGAATGGGCCAGGCCCAGTGCATGGCCAAATTCGTGAGCAGCAACAGTGAATAAATTGAAACCTAGACAATATGAGAAAGAAAAAGACAGTATCAACACAGGGTTTTATCATCCATATCTTCTGTCTTTACAGGAGAATATACCCAAATCACAGTTAACTCCTTTTCTTTTCGTAACTGGATTATTTAAAGGTTGATAGGTTATTCTGGCACTTTGCTGACTTTTGTCTAGTTCTGTCCCCCTTGGCTAGAAGAGGCTTGGGGGTGGGAGAGGATGGAAATGTAAGTCAATCCATTTTGTTTATTGTCAGTGATGCTAAATAGATTGATAGAAGGGCCTTAGAGCTAATAATGGCAAAATGATAATAGTTGGCAATAATTCATAGATTTAGGCCACAAATGTTTTACTAGTTCCCTGCTATGACAGCCTACTTCTTTTTATCTACAAAAATTTCACACTAAAGATATCCAGGTGACATGCATGATATTCTGGAACTTTTATACCCATTCCCATCACATTTTTCAAGAGACTAGTGATTCCCTCAGGATATTTCTGAACATAGCCTATTTCCAAGTACAAGTAAGAAACACTAAATACTGTATAGCTAAAGAAAAAAAGTTGTGTGTTGCGGGGAGCATTGCTACTTCTTGAGATTATATGCTATGAACCAGAGATCAGACAAGTCTACAGCACAATCAAGGGCGAATCTTTTCCCTTATGGTGTTCCCTTTTGGATTTTTGGCTTACTTGTTTTTCCTAGCCAGCCTCCCTAGTTAAAGGGTGGCTTGGGACGTTGAACCTCAAGGTTTCATGATGGAGGCCCAGAAGAAGGTACAATATTTTCCAGGTTATGGTGAATTGTGCATATATACCATTCGTTCCCATAGTCCACTTCTCAGCATTGTCGAAATGTGTATCTCCTCCCAGGCCTTCTCCAGGGGCAAATGCATGGGCTAGAGTCCCTCGAGGCCCATCGAATGGATAGGAATCCCCGTGATCTAAGTAAGCGAGGAGAAATGTCAACAGGAGTTAGTCTTTCTAGCAATTTTTGAGGGGTACAGGGAATGGAGAACTTTTTGAATAGCATCGACATCTAAAATAGTATTACTTTCCAATATTTGATTTTTGTTGTAAGAAGTTCATGTCCATGAGTAATCTGTCCATCGAAAAATTAAAAGGGGTATTTTGTATTTCAACGATAGTAAACATTAAAAATATGCTTTTGTTATTGTTTTTACTGCAACGTCTATTAATTGCCACATGGCACACTGTGGACTAAGCGCATGCTGTAGATTACATACGGAGAAAGAACAAATGGCCATCCAACAGCAATCTCATCCATTGATTGGAAGATGAACGTGTTGGCAAAGTGTAGCTTTCAACATATGATTCAGCTAAGACATTAACAGTAAATTGAAGAAGCGTGTGCTTTCTGTTTCTACAGCACAATATAATACAATTTAAGGAAGTGCCAAAAAAAAGAAAATTTCTCTGTAATTTTCATATACTTTGATATGTAAAATGAAAGTAATAAAGGTGTTTATAAAATCTTAACTTTTAAGGCTTTATATGCTTTTGTTTGTCTATATATAATTAACAGTTCATTACATTTAATAGAAAATGAAGAAGAATAAAATGAGGGATGCAGTAGAAGTCACTTTTCACAGTTTTTTAGGATTTTAGTGAGGATACGGTGTTTTATTAAAAACCAACATAACAAAGTTCCAGTGTGCCACTTCTGAGGATTTGGTGCTGTCCCGTTTAATCAGATTGCGTGCCCTGAGGGCCTGGTGGAATGGTAGCGCAGTCCTTAGTCAGCTTGTGTTTTAGGGGACAGAGTACAAGCTTGAAAGATCAAGAGCGCCACCCTGCCCTGCCACTTCACTGGGGGTGGCCTTGGTCCTCTGGGAGGAGCAGGACCTGCCATGGGCCAGGTCACACCCAGGGCCATCTCTGAAGGGCTCATACTCAGTACTTGCTTAATCTTCTCTCTCCTAGCTCCTAAGCATGTTTTCCCCCAGTGACATCAGATTAAAATTAAGATCAAGACTTGAAATAGCAGGGACGTCTAGAAACATTATCTGTGGAGGGAAAAAGGCAGTGGCACTCACTTCCTTCACTGTTAGAAAGTTGAGAAGGGAAGAGAATCTCATGGGCCATCTACTTTATCTGCTAACTGCTAACTTTATCTCCTAACTAGACATATTTCTCTGAAAAGGGCTCAGAGTCCACCACCCATCCCTGTGCAAAGTTATACCTCCACAACTTACCAGAGTGAGTGGGGGGATGGAGAAAAAATGGGTAAGTTGGAGGCAATCTGTGACTCCCAAAAGGTAGTCTGCAAATGGAGGCAAGACAGCAAAGCCACTCTCCTAACCACTGCTGCAGGGGGAAAGCCGTCAGGGCCACTGTGGAATTGATTGCCTTCAGCGAGGATTCGAGGTGAGGATTCTTGGCTAATATGGAATAGGGTATATAGTGATGCACAACATCATGGGAATAGCATGAGGTCAGATGGCCTCCTAGACAATAGGAAAGCTAAATCTGACAGAATCCGCCCTTAATGGGGCAAAACCATCCTGAGAACTGTTATACTGAGTCCTTTCTACGGCTGAGTCTAATGATGACAAGAAATGCTGAGAACTCCCCAGTTTCTAGTTTCTGGTCAGACGAAGATCATGACTTTGCCGTGACCTTGGCTTCTGCCCATAACATCACTGTGTGAAGGAGGATGGCATTGATCACTTGGCTTAAATTTTGTAGAAGGAAAAGTATTGGAACACTTCTCCTCTGGATTAGCAGACAGTATCCAAGAAGCCCCACAGTACCTCCAGTTTCAAAAGATATCATAATATCGGCTTCTCCAGAGTCTACCCTAACAAAGTTGAGGGGCACAGCGCTGCTCCAGGCCTGTAGGGCCATCTCTACTGCTTTGTTCACATCAGCAGGAGTCATGGAAGTTGTGTATTTGGATATTCTGTGAAAATAGAAGGAACACGTTTTCCTTTCAGTAAAATGCTCCTAAGTGAAGAAGGCAAGAATTACGTCAAGATTGTGTTAAAAATCAAAACATTGAACATAAATCTACAATTGAGATTTTTTTCTCCAGAGCCATAATTCTGGTTTTGCTTTCATTTTGTTAAATTACTGAAACATGTTAAACCATAGGAGAAATGAAGGGGAGAAATGAGAGTTGAGATAATCTGGTGCTGAATCAGCTGGGCTTTCATTGTTACTATATTGTCACTAATTTTAAAGAGTAATACCATGTGTAACTTTACAAGTGTCAAGAAGTCCTCTGTCCCTAAAGCGGTTTTAATTGAGAAGGGAGCTTTTGTTTCCCTAAAAGGGACTGAAAATTTTGAATTGTAAAAAACAAAAACGTGGAGTTTTGAGGTTTTGCAAATTCTTAGTCAAAGGCCATCAGGATTTCCCCAGGGCCACGGGGGAATGTTTTTTCTTAAAATAATACATTTCTTAAAGAGGAAGTGCTAGCCTTGAACAAGGATTCTCACTTGGACTGAAAAAAGGCTTGAGGCTTTCATCAAATGCTGTGTGACAGTGACATCTAAAGGCAGAAAAGTATAGAGCTTTTTGGACAAAGCAAGTAGACAGTTTGGTGGTTCTCTAGGACAATTGGTGACTCTAGGACGTGCTGCTCTGGAGCTTGGGGCTGGGGGTTTCTGGCAGCATGTGTGTGAAGACAGGGCAGGAGAGAGGAGCTTCCACTTGGGACCTCGGGCTGGGACGGAATGACGAATGTGGAGGGAGAAGCTAGGTCTGTAAGAGCCAACCTTGACAGCAGGGACTGAGCCTACCTTCTCTTTTTCCAGCTCCTAGCCCAGAGCCTTGCACAGAGTAGGTGCTTAGCAAATGCTTGATAAATGGGTGAATTAATGAATAAAAGCTAGTGGTTTTTAGGACCGACTCAGTGGTTCTCAAATTTTAGGCCCTGTGCTAACCACCTAGGAAGGTTGTTAAATACACAGGTGTGATCCTGAAATCTGCATTTTAACAAGTATCCTAGTTTAGTCTGATACGAGTGGTGCCATCTCAACCAGAAACCCACAGCAGTAGTCCTGGGGCCCAAAAGGAAGGGAACGTGTCCTACACAGAGGATGGTACATAGCACAATTTAGCAATGGAGAGGGAAGGAGCAAGGAGATCTTTAAGTCCAGGGATTGTAGCCAAGAGGAAAGAGCTATAGAGTTGAAGAGGAAACCAGGACACTAAAAGGGATCATTTAGTCCTTTCAAAAACTGCCAAGCCTGAGCCGGCATGGTGGCGTAGTGGTTAAGTTTGTTTGCCCCACTTCAGTGTCCCAGGGTTTGCTGGTTTGGATCCCGGATCATCAAGCCATGCTGGGGCAGCGTCCCACATACAAAATAGAAGAAGGTTGGCACAGATGTTAGCTCAGGGCCAATCTTCCTCACCAAAAAAAAAAAATATATATATATATATATATTTATATACACACACACATATATACATATGCCAAGCCCACTATATAATATGAATCTCTGATTTATCACGACTCTGTATGGGTAATACCTTGAATTCCCTTGCATTGTAGACAAGCCAGCCATATCTTTGAGCTGACTGTGTGTGCTGAGCTAGAGAAGACAGAGTTGCCAAAACGGACAGCACCAGAAAAGAAGAGAATCTAGAGAAAAATCCTGACCCAGGGTCTAGAAATTGATAAAGCAACAGTGCTAATGGCTAATATTCTTGAACACATACTAAGTGCTAGACACAGTTTTAAGCACTTTTTTAATGTGGTATGCCATCTAATCCTCACAGCAACCCTTAGGAGGTCTTAGTAATCACCCACATTTTATGATTAGTCAGTATTTGAGCCAAGTTCTATCTGACTCCAAAGCTTATGCACATAAGCACTATGATATATTTTATGTATTTTAATCCTCTGGCTTATATTATAAGAAGTTGTTCTGGGATCCAGTAGCTATACAGACAGAATACTAAGATAGCTCCTAGTGCTTTTTTTTTTCTTTTTTTTGAGGGGGCAGGGGAGTTGTTCCAGAGCGAGAGGGGATGGGCAGTGGGAGCTTGTGGGTTTGGGGTCTGCCCAACTTATCACAAGAATATGATACTTCTCCAAATCCTAAATTATCTTGATCTATGCCCCTGTCTTTGCTGTTCACAGTCATAGACTAAAATTCTATGATACAGTTTATTTTAAGAAAATGGTGGAAAAGACTCCATGAGTGTATGTAAATTTTTCCTATCTTACTCTTAATTATGTCATAATCACTCGTGTGTTTGGTTCCTTTTGTGGGGTTTCTTCCCCAAATGTTTTGATTCTTATGGAATTGTTTTGCTCAAGCAGAGGCTAATAATTGTGTTCAGAGCACCACCTTATGGGCTCATAGACTCATAGCAGCTAACAAGTGGCCTCAGGAATCATGTAGCCTCTCTCGGGGTTTGCGCCCTCTCTCATTTGACCACGGGGACTGGCTAGTGTGCTGGTACAGTTTAACAACTGCGTCCATAACCAATCCTCCTGATTTATAGGGTTTGCCCATTTCCATACTGTAAACATTCTCACTATGGTGAATTTCAAGCCACCAACTTGCCACCACAGAACGCAAAGTTGGGAAGAGATATGGGGCAGGACATCATTTCCACTAAGCAGATAAAATAGATGTAAAAGACTTCGTGAACACATAATAGTAAAAGGTAGTGTAATAATTAGGGGGCTGGCCCGTGGCCGAGTGGTTAAGCTTATGCTCTCGGCTTTCGCGGCCCAGGGTTTCGCAGGGTCGGATCCTAGGCGCGGACATAGCACTGCTTGTCAGGTCACGCTGCGGTGGCATCCCACATGCCACAACTAGAGCCACCCACAACTAAAATATACAACTATGTACTGGCGGGCTTTGGGGAGAAAAAGCAGGAAAAAAAAAAGATTGGCAACAGTGTTTAGCTCAGGTGCTAATCTTAAAGAAAAATAATTAGGAAGCGACGTTTTGATTACCTTTGTTTTTAATAAATGTATTTAATTGTAAGTTTACATAATTTAATTTTAATAATGGCTGTGTTTGGCAACCAGCTCACAAAATTCTTGGAAACTTAACAACCGGCGGCAAAAGCCCAAACTGCTGAGTCTCACCTTCTAGCTGCCCTTCAGGCTGTCTCTCCAGCCCGGCCTCCCACCATTCCCCTTCCTGCATCCTCTACTCCCGCCACCCTCTGCCACTGTTTGCTCAGTCTGCTTTTCAAAGTGGAAAACACCTAACGTTTGCGAGGCCTGGGACAAAAGTACAAATGAAGGCCGCCCTTCTTTTCCGATGCCACCGCTGTCTGGCACGCACGAAGCCCACATACCCAGGCTCCCTGAGCCTGCCTCCAGCCCCACATTCAGGCGGAAGGGCTGGCACCATGGGTGGTCCAACCCAGACTGAACTGGGAAGGAGGCTGGGCCAGCCCAGCAAGTGGGTCCAGACTGCTGAGCAGGAATTTCAGCCTGAATAAGCAGAGCGCAAAGAGGACCAGACTCTGGTTGGGCATGCCCCCTCGGACAACACAGAATCCTTGTTCCGAGGCAGGAGGAGGCCAGGGGATGGCCAGGTTGGGGGCATGCTACAGTGTGGTGGTGGTGGGAGGGATACCATGGGTGACTGGGGAGCCTGGGGCTAAAGGCAGACGGGCTCCTACTTTACTTTGACTTTAGGCTCAGATGTCACTTACCCGGTCCCTGGGCGACTTGGTAGCTCCCTCTAAGTACTCCCACAGTTCTCTGCTCAGACCTGTGGTTTCACACTTTTCACACAGAGCTGCAACTATCTGCTTGTGTGTGTGCCTCTCCCAAAGGGCTGTGGGTTCCCTAAGGTCAGAGATGGTTATCTAGTCACCTTTATATTTCCAAAACTGAACGCTTATAGTAGGCACTTAGTAAATCATCAATAAATGATTTTTGGAATCAATGGAAATTAATTTATTGATTGGTGAGTTTCATCATATCCTTCTGATTAAGCAGGTTGTTTTAAGAAAACTGGTTGGCACTGTCAGGTTATTAATCCTAGACTAGATTATTTTTCTTTAAAGATAAATGTGTTGTCCCTAACTGATACAATTGTTTGTAAAGCCTAAGATGGCCAGCCACTACAATAATCTGGGGATCATACTTTCTTGTGCTGTCTTCATCGTCATTGTCTAAAGATTCAACCTAAGTGTTCTTATATGATTTTGATGAGTCATGATTTTTATACAGATCAGAAGGAAGATATTTTTAAAAGAAAAGGAGGAAAGAGAAAGGATGTTTCTCTCTGAATTTGGAGAGACTCAGATCTCATTACCTGTAGGTCAAAGTATTTTTTTTCCATTTGGGTTCACCTGGGAAGAGGCGGTAGTTTGCCACATCAGGAACTCCACAGCGAGGCCTCTTGATCACATCCATCGTGGACTTGTCTAACTTCCCGGTGACCGGGAGGCCGAAGAACACTTGCAGCTCCTTAATCTTCTTCACCATGGAATTGCTTCCTCGTGCAACCATCTCACCAATCTGGTGGCCTCCTTTAACCGTGTAATACTTGTCGAGGTACGCCTGAAATGGAGAGGTAGGCTGACACATCTATAGCACAGTCTCTGGGAAATACTCCTGCTCAGGTAAGACAAGAATAATATTCTTGATATATTAAAATTACAGTGTAGAGCATATTCCCATCTTTGAAAAAACTTAGATATATTTGCATAGATAAAGCTTAGGGAGATATACGCCAAATTACTATAATTATCTTTGGGTAGTGGGAATTTTAGATTTTTTTTTCTCACCTACATTTTATAGTTTTTCTGCAATGAGTAGATATTTTAAGAGGGAGAAATAATGGAAGGAAAATGATGTGAACACCTCTTCCCCATGGATCATTTGGCATCGAAATCTTTACCCAGTTTATGAAACAGTCTATCCTATGTCTCTGGTAAGCAGTTGTTGCTAGCACTATCTAGTTGATTCTGACTCCTAGCTAGCTTGTGTACAACAGAGCGGAACCCTGTCCTGTCTTTTTGCGCCATCCTCTCACCTTCCTGTGCTATACCAGACAACACTCAGCTGCTTTTAATAGGGGTTTCATGGCCAATTTTTTCAGAAGTGGATGGCCAGGTCCTCCTTCCTAGTCTGTCTTAGTCTGGAAGCTCCACTGAATCCTGTCCACCATGGGTGACACTGCTGGTATTTGAAATAATGGTGGCATAGCTTTCAGCATCACGGCAACATGCAGTCGCCACAATATGACAACCGACAGTTGGGTGGTGTGCTTCCCTGACTTGAAAATGAACCCCGGCTGTGGTGCTGAGAGCGCCAAATCTTAACCACTGAACCACTAGGTAAGCAGTTATTGGTATTTTCACTATACATTGTGCAAGCTCAGTATGTTTTTAACTCTCAAAAGTTATGTTCCAGCCTCTCATCTTATATGTGGGCAGAGCGTCAATCTGTTTCCCAACTGAAGATTTTAATCAGTTCTAGTGTGTTCAATATGTGGGACTGAGATTGTTTTCATGAGGCAGGATTCCTGGGACAGGCTCTTTGCCTCTTGAGACAGGTAAAATTAACCATAAATTATAAGGCTTTCATTTGTACGTAAAGGCTTAGAACCTGTAATATATGATTCAAAAACTTGTCTATGCTGCTTAGGTGAAGTGAGCAAGGCAGAGTCAGGCAAATGCAGGGTTAGAGCCTGCTGTTCGCCCAGGAATTTCACCCAGCCAACTTATTTCAGGAAAATAAACAAAGAGCAGCTAAAGATTTATGTATATTTTTTATTATACATAAAATGTTATATTTATATATTATATGTAAGTCGTTTTACTGTACATAATAATATTTATTTATATATCACATTAACTATATATATTTTTTATCAATTATGTATATGACTTTTATATGTTATATATACATATTTATATATATAAGTAGTAAAATATTGGAAGCAAACAATATCTCACAATAGAGGATTTGTTAGATATATTATTATATGTTCACGTGAAGTAATACTAGGCCTCCCCTAAGACACATTTTTGAAAAACATTTAATGATATGGAATAATGCACTCAATATAATAGTGATAACATTGAAATAAGCAGAGGAGAAAGCTTTATGCAAATTATCATAATTTCATAAATAAACCAAATCAAATATATATGTGTATGTATTTATCTTATTCTCATGTTCACTATATATATATAAATATATGTTAATATTTAAAATTAAGATATTAATCCACATATTGATATATAATAAATAACTTATATGTAATACATATAATTTGTTATATATATAATTTATAATGAACATGAGTAACATAAATATTAGAAGGAAATATGCCTGGATATTAACCTTGTTTGCCTTGTAAAACTATGGGTGAAAGTTTATTCTTTGCCCTTTCCTATATTCCAAAGTTTTCTGCTATGAACATGGACTTTAATTGTTAAGGAAAGAAAAAAAGGAGTAAGACTTGCTCACTTGTTTGACAAGGTGCTGTTTCCTTACTGTGGGGTCAACTGACCCTTGCTCCCTGCCCTGCTTGTGAGAGAAGCTCCCTTCCCCGGTGGCCATCCCTTCTACAAATCTCAGTGAGAGGAGAGCCCAGAGGAGGCAAAGGGAGAGGCAGTGTGGAGCGAGCTCCCGGGCCCTGGAACCTGGCTGAGGTGCTCTAAAACAGAGGTGTGACTATTTGGTTCCGTGTCCATCTCTGGTTAGGCCACCATCTTAAGTAAGCATCTTGTGTTTCCGATCTTTTTCAAGATGACGTTGGTTCTCTGAGCTATTCCTGTTTGCTCAAGTTGATGCTATGATAACGTGATGCTCATGGTAAATCTGGATTATGCTCTTCAGAGGTAAGCTCTTATTTTCTGAGACAGTTTTGATTTCAAATATGTTTTCCCTTCTTAGGTTATATGTTACACTCTATATTCTAATTTTGAAATAAATTAATTAAATTGAAATAATTAAAAAATATAGTTGTATAACGGAGGATGCTCATGATACACTAAGTAGAAAATAGGTTTAAAACTACTCGTATAGTATAAGCCATGTTTATAAATGAAAGTGTGTGTATATGGATACACACACAGATATATAGTCATAAACTGGCACCAGGGTGAGGAAGTGAGAAATCGCCCAAAAACTGAAATAATCAAGAAAAATAGTATTTTAATGCAATATTGAAAAAATATCAAAATTAATGTGAAAAAATACATGATACACAAAGCATCAAACTTTTAAGTAAAGCCAGCATTCAACCCTGCCTCCCTCCCGTCGCCCTAGTCCCGGCCCTAACTCATAGAAAAGTGGTTTTGAAAGATAAAGAGCGAAGGATTAACAGTGGTTGCATCTTAGTGACGGAATTGAGGATAATTCTTTCTTAGTTATATATGTTTTATAATTTTTCTACTGTGAACATATACAGTTTTACAATAAAATGTTACTTTAAAATATGACTAAGATGCTAGACCTGCGCTTCAGAAGGCTTAAGACCAATCATAGTAGATAGGATTAAAACAGTACCTTTTAGTGAAGTAAAATAAAATTGGAAACTAATTCTACTTAAAAAGAGAACAAAAATTGGTGTCTATGGTGATACAAGGGAGTTGCTCCCACAGGATGTGGTTCTTCTACTAGGAAATACTTGCCACGTGACACTGTTGTCCACAGATTTCTCATCACTCTTGCCTGCTGGGTGGCAAGCTCCTTCCTGTGGGGACCATGACTCCTTCACAAATACAGGCCCTGTGGCTGTCACAGTTCTAGGCTCAGAGTAGATGTTTAGTTAATATTTGAACTCTTTTTCTTTAGGTGAAATATGAAAATACGCTTCTTTGAAGAATTATCAGATGTTCTGAGGTGCTGAGAGCCCAAATGATTCTGGGCACTTTCTTGCCAAAGTTATTCACAAAGTTTTAGCATACTTTTTAGAGTCACAATGTTCAATGAGGCATTTAGATGTGCCCTTAGAATTGGGTTTGTGTTAATTCTAACACTTGTGTGTTGTTGGCTCAACACCTGATTGTGGCGCTGAGTCAAAGATTTCAGACTCACCAGAGTTGTCCCATTTGCACCCTGCCCTCCCCACTCCCCCACTGTCAAAATTAGAAGATCATAAGATTGGTTCTCAGGTGGTCCTCTCTCTACTTCTCTTCCAACATTTGATAGATAAAAACAACTGAGGCCTTAGAGGGCAGTCCCAGCAAGCTAGTGGCCCAAGCTCCCTCCCAACTCTTCATTCAGTGCACTTTCCTAGTGTCCTTCCTGAGAGTTAAGAGTTCAAAACTCAGATTTAAGTAAGCTTCAGGACAAGGTGAAGTTCAAGATATGGTTTCTTCAACATTTCTTTCTATTTTGGCTAAATCACAAAAATGGAACTATGGGAAATTTTTGCTGTGTGATAAATCCTGGATTCTAACAATTCTAATTTCTTTTGATTTCAGTTTACTCATCTATCAAACGGGATTGGAATCCGTCCTACTGACCACACTGGTGTGAGGATCCAATGAGGTCCTCAATGTGAAAATGCTTTTAAATGTATCAAAAGACGTTAAAGTGTATATACCCTTTTACTCATTAATTCCACTCCTGGAATTCTATCCTGAAACAATAATCCTTTAGATTAGGCTGATGCACAAGGTGTTCATAGAAACATTATTCACATGAAAATAATCTGTGTGTCCAACAAAAGAGATAGTTAAGTGAATTATAACTTGCTCATATTATGGAATATTTGCAACTCTTTAAAAATATGAAAATAATATTAAAATCGAAATTTTCTTATGACATAATAATCAGAAAAGTAGGAACTGAATTTTGAATATAATAACAATTTAAAAATAGCTTTATACACAGAGAGTAAAATGGTAGTAAAAGCACCTGAATTTAACAGTTTGTATTTGGAAGGTTTTTATTTCTCATTTTCTTTAATTATGAGTTCATAACATGATAATGAAAATCTATATTATTTTTCAGGACAATTTAACAATCTGTTTTAAGTGTTGTATTGATATTGCCTTTTAAAAACAAACAAAAAAGTGGAATAAAACCCTGGATTATGAGACTAAGTAAGCATTTTATCTTTCTATCATGTTCAAAGTCTTTATGCTAACTAGCCAATTAGAATTTAAAGAATACAAGTGGCATTAAATAAATCAACTAAAAACCTGTTTATGTTTTCAAGCATAGATTATTGTCACCGTGGGTTTAGGAAGAAGCGAATGGTATTTGGAAATTTTCCTGTCTGGAGTTTCCAGGCACAAAAAACCACTTGTTCTCTCTTAGCAAGCCATCTAGAAAGAAGAGAGCAGTGTGGAAGTGCTTACCTGATCCAGCTCCCTGGCTCCGATGACCCGCTGGCCTGGCCTGACTCTGGGACTGAGTCAGTACCCTCCTCCCGTCGTCTCTCATCTCTTGCCACACTAGCCTGATGCTCCATCCGCGCTTCTTCACCCTGGGCTGCTGCACTTGCTCTTTCCTCTGCCTTGACTACTCTGTCTCCAGATCTTCACATGACTGGCTCCTTCTTATAGTTCAAGTTCATATCAAATGTCATTTCCTCAGAGAAGCCTTTCTGGACTACTCAGGTGAAAATGCACCCCCACTGTCCCAGTCACTGTCTCTCATCCTGGTTAATTTATTTTCCAGCATCACTTACTGAAATCATATTGGGCGCTTATGGACTGACTTGTTTAGCACCTCCCCATCTCCTCCGTCATCCCCATGTAACAGCCATAAGAACAGGGACTTTACTTGTTTTGCTCACTGACGTTTCTCCTGTACTTAGAAGAGATGCTGGCACACAGCATACAGTAAATGTTCAATGAATAGTTGTTGAATGAGTGACCTTAAGCTATTATCATGAAATAAGCCTATTTTCATGTTGTTTCATTTGTATTATAAGGCTGCACCAAAGTTGTTATATATTTCTGTAAACTATAAGGTGAGACATTATTCTTTCTAAGTCACTGAGATCCACTTTAGAGGTTTGCCCAGATCATTCCAGCCTGCTGAAAGGTGTCAACTGGTCCTGTCCCGAGCTGGTGACTGAGCCCGTTGCAGGCAAGAGAAGGTGCTGTTTGCTGGGTGACAAGGTATTGACAAGTTTCCTTGGTTTCTGGTTGGAGTCTTTCTGAGAGTATGCCATAAGGGAGACTGAGGCGCACTGACTTATTTTGGAGATGAAGAAGTAAGGGATCACCAAAGATCCCCAACATTCCAAGGCCACCTAATTCTTCGCAAATACTCCTAGCAAGGATGGCTTTTCTTAAGACTTTCTGGCTTTATTCCTGTAAGACTGCTCAGGGGTCAGCTAATTTTTTCTGTAAAGGGCAGATAGTTAATATTTTTGGTTTTACCTTACTCCACCATTGTGATGCAAAAGCAGCAACAGATGGTATGTAAACAAATAGATGTGGCCAGTTTTGGCCCGATGACCATACTTTGTCTGAACCTGGACTAGAATCATAGTCTTCGGCCACCTCAGATCAGTTCTGGCCTCTGCATGACCCTCCTCTTGGAGGTTGCAGAGACTCTGTAGTTTCTGCATCAGAGTGGCACGAGGCTAGGGAGGAAAATTATATTTGGGGAGAAGGGACTCAAAACCAGGTGGCACCAGTGAAATACAATTTGAAATAGACCCCAGTATTCTGAGATATGTTATTTTTGAATTTAGTTCGTCTAAAAGTGGGCTTGAGTCAAAGAAATTTCAATTCAATAGGTCTGCACTTGGCATCCACTGTTCTGTTTATATGCAGAGCTGATGACTGGTATGGCAGGGGGACTGAGCAGTTAGAATGGACGGGCAGCAAAGCAATCCGTAGGGACGCACCGGTGTGTCAGGGTGTAGGTCAGCTCTGCAGCGCAACCACTGAAGCACCACACGGTGCAGCCCGACAGATAGGAAAGCAACCTGGAGGCAGAGCTGGTAATCACAGATACGCTGTCATTTTGAAAGACAGTCCCTGGTGCAAAAACATCTCATCCACACATCTTTCACTAACGTTGGAAGTTCCATCATTAGAGACTCATTTCTTTAGGTTGAAGATTGCCACCTTCCTTTTAAATGCAAAATGACACTTTGAAGCAAATTTACAGGCATGCACCGTCTGATGGCACTTCAGTCAACAACGGACCGCATATACGATGGAGGTCCCATAAGATTAGTACCATAGAGCCTAGGTGTGTAGCAGACTGTACCATCCAGGTTTGTGTAAGTACACTCTATGATGTTCACACAACGACGAAATCATCTAAGGGCGCATTTCTCAGAACACATCCCCGTTGTTAAGCGACACATGACTGTATATTGAATCAATTTGAGTCATGTGTAGCCTTTGCAAAAATTCTACTACAAATTATTTGTATCAGATCTTTACCAACAGTTATTTGGGGGAGATTTTAAAAAAGGAAAATACAGAAAGTGTAAGCAAATAAGGTACTTGGTGAATATGCTTTAGAGAGGAAAGACGCTTCAATAAAAAGAGGGTAGGCACTCAGGACAAACTTGGTTCACTTTAGGTTTTGATCAAGTTTACTGTGAGTAGAAGAGCCATTTTCTAAAATGTGCCCATAGGAAATCTTTTTATTGTGACTGCTAGGAAGCTTAGCACTAAATTTACAATCCACCTCTAGTGTGGGAATCTTACACCTTGATTTTTATTTTTTTGCCCTTATTTTCCTCCTGCATTATTCTTCAAATATTTCTTTTGTCTTATTGTATTGCATGTAATTTTGCAAGCCACCTCAAATTCTGTATGAAGCAAGATTCCTAGATAGATATTTATTCATTTATTTATTCACTCATGCAACATGTACACCCACTGTGCACCAGACCTTAGTCTTAGCTGTCCAGGAGATAGTATCTATCAGACTTCAGCGGACTTAGACGATGATTTTAAAACAATAACAGATTTTTTCTTATTTTCTTGTTATACCCTTTTAAGTTTTCCAGGGCAAGAGGAGGAAAAGGGAATTGTGCAAAGATTCACAAACCTGTGCGAGGTGGTAGTTGTTCCTTGAGGTCCTGGGGGTGGCTGCAAATAGGGAGGGGGTTGCAGTGGAAAACTTCAAAGCCGTGATGAGGAGGACAGCGAGGCCAGATGCAAGGAGCACCTTCATCTCCTCACGGTAGCGTGGTAATTATATCAGCCTGGGGGACGACAGACAGTGCACGTTTGCACTTCCACCTTCAGCTGCTTTTATAGAGTCGAACAGGTCTGGGCCCTCAGAGCAAGGATGATTCATGTCTCAAAAGGTAATTATACAGCTCATTTCTCTCCCTGATGACGGGGTAACACAACGGTGCACAGGAGTCAAGGAAAGCTTCGCTCTTTGTGAGTTACCGAGTCGCAAAAGGAGAAAAAGACTTTTAAATGAAGTTTGTCAGCTACTTACACAAATTGGGGTAAACTTGATTAATCTGAACCCAGCTCAGCTGAAACATTTGTTTAGTCTCACTTTGCGAGTCTTTTCCATTCTGATTACAGAAAAGGGAAATAATTAGAATATAATTTAATCTGTCCTCAGTAATTCTGGGCTCCCCACACATTCAGTCGAATTGCCTCTATCTTCTGCAGTCAGTTCGACATTTCTCAGGAACGAATGCTGTGTATAATGATGGTTCTGGGACACGTAAGATCCTGAATCATCAAGGAAACAGTACATTATATTATGCTGACTTAGGGTAGAAAGTGAACTGATAACTGTTAGAAAGCTTTTGAATAAGTTAACACAAAGATATGTCTTAGCTAACCAAAATGTTAGACAGAACTCCCCATTCTCTGCACACTGGCTAACTGGAGCCATGTTCTTTTTCCTGGCTCTGATTTAGACGGATCTTGATCTAGAGATAGCTTGGAGAAGAGAGGGTATGGTGAGAAAAACACTTTGGCATCAGACAAACAGATTAAATTTTGTTTAAGATGCTTCCTAGCTGTGTGACTTTGGGCAAGTTCTTTAACCTTGTTGAACATCAGGACTTTTTTTTAATCTGAAAAAGACTGACCATAATAATACTGTGTGGAAAAGATACCTAACTGTAGGATTGTCATAAAGGAGTAAATCAGGTCATAACAAAGCCCTTAGCAGAGTGCTCAATAGAGGTTAGCTTTTATAGAATAATGTTCAGTTGGTCTTTTTACTTTGGTGTTAGGCACCTGGTAGGTTTTAATAAATGTTTTTGGAAGGGATGAATGGATACCTTTATCAATGATTCTCAAAGTGCGGTTCATGGACCAGCAGCATCACTGTTACCTGGGGACTTGTTGGAAATGCCTTCTCAGGCCCTGCCCAGACATACTGAATTAGAAACTCTGGGAGTGGGGCCCAGCAGACTGCATTTTAACAAGCCCTCCAGGTAATTCTGATGCATGCTAAAGTTGGAAAACCACTGGATTAGTTGAGCAAATAGAATTATGGGGTCTAGGATAAATTAAAAAATGTATCAAAAGTGCCAAGAACATCCCAGTCACAGAAAGTATTCAGTATTGCCCTTGCCATCTACAGCAGTGTGTTTTAGTGGTGACATACCTGGTATTTGCAAGTCATTCGTGAAGTCTGTTGCAAATAATTTATTCCTAGTGCTTGTTAAGCCATGAAAGTGTGTGAATGACTTACCTTCACACTTAGACTAGATTCAAGATTGTTACTACAGTGGTGTCTCTCTCTCTCTTGCTCTGTTGCATTCTGATATACTTTCCTGCATAGAAGAGAAAACAGTGGAGTGACAGCCTGCGTGTGGGGTCTCGCGAATAACCCCAGGTACTCAATGAGAGTTTGTCACACATGTGAATATCATCTCTGTCATGTACTGTGAGACACACAAAACATCATCTTCACAAGAAAAAAGAAAGACAACCACAGATCTAGTAGATTCTGATAGAGAATTCTACTGATAGAGAATTCTAGTAGATTCTGGTAGATGGAGATATTCAGCTAACTAAATTGTAAGCTCCTTGAAGATTGAATGATTCAAAAGTCACTTAACAAAGTTTGTTTTATAAATGAGTGAATGTGCAAACATATATTCATTGTCACTTTTTTGTTTGAGGAAAGGAAAAGAATAGTACAGTAATTTTTCAAAATTTGCGTTTGTATACTCTCCTGTCCTCTGCAGCGCAATTGCTACACCTTCATAACTGCTGCCAAAATTGAAGAACACATGGAATGAGTCCTTGAAACTTCCCTCCATTTGGTCATCTTATTCCCGTATTTTCTTCCCAAATCACTACTCCAGTCTATCGTGATGGCCCCAGTGCCAACAGGGAGGAAGCTTTGGGGTGGAAGGAATGACAGTAAGGAAACTCTGGGGCCAGTAGAAAATGATGCTGGATCGGTGAGCCGAGGAGTCGAAAGAAAGATTTCTTAGACTCTCAAGATCTGGCAGTAGTGCTCTTTTATTTAGAGAATAGTGTGGAATAGCATGGGGACAGGACCCATGGGCAGGCAGAGCTTCTGCTGCTGCCACTGCTGCTGCCCCCGCTGGCATGGGGACAGGACCCATGGGCAGGCAGAGCTGGTGCGTGGGGACAGGACCCACGGGCAGTCAGAGCTCCTGCTGCTGCCGCTGCTGCTGCCCCCGCTGGCATGGGGACAGGACCCATGGGCAGGCAGAGCTGGTGCGTGGGGACAGGACCCACGGGCAGTCAGAGCTCCTGCTGCTGCCGCTGCTGCTGCCCCCGCTGGCATGGGGACAGGACCCATGGGCAGGCAGAGCTGGTGCGTGGGGACAGGACCCACGGGCAGTCAGAGCTCCTGCTGCTGCCGCTGCTGCTGCCCCCGCTGGCATGGGGACAGGACCCATGGGCAGGCAGAGCTGGTGCGTGGGGACAGGACCCACGGGCAGTCAGAGCTCCTGCTGCTGCCCTGAGTTGAGGGTTAGGGCTAATAAGGCATGGGTACGTGACTTATTTTTACTGGAAAAAAAAGAAAAGATGATGTAAAAAGTCATTAAATGATTTCAGTGCAGATGGGGTCTGGTTATTGTGCGGTCATATAACTTTAGATACGAATCTGGCCATATAGATCGGCATGCAGGTGAGGATGCCCCGGGCTTCTCTCCCTGGGGCAGTCCTAATTCATACCATAAAAAAAGTCCACTGGGTCGTATAGTTTGGCACGTAGGCCAGGTCACCTTGGGCTTCTCTAGCTGGGGCAGCCTTAATCCACATCATAAACCCCCCCTGAACCCATTTGGCCCCAAAATCTTTTGGGGATATGGACGACGGTCAGTCTTCTGTAACTACTTCCGGCTGTACAAGGTCGTAGAGCTGTCCCTAAATGGGGCCATAGGTATAGGTAGGAAGTTCAGTGGACCGGAAGGCTGCACCCGTGGAGTCCAAGGCTGACAAGGCATCCAGAGCCTCTGGGGACGAGAGAATCAGTTGACGAGAGGTGGTCCAGGAGGTGAAACTTTGTTGACATGCGGAAGACAAACAACGAAACAGACAACAAATTATAATAAGAAATATAAGCAGTATGATTAACCCAATGAATAAGGTTTTGGTAGCAGTCCAGAAACCTGGTCCTGACCAGGAGTTCAACCAGTCATTTAGAGATAGGGGAGGGTCAGACATGGACTTAATTTGGTGGCTCATATCAGACAGGAAGCCGGAGATATTTTGATGGTAGTCAGGAATATAGACACAACATTCAGTTTTTATAATGGCGCAGGTGCCCCCCTGTGCTGCTGTCAAGACATCCAGTGCCATTCAGTTTTGGAGGACTGCCTTACGCATTTGGGACACTTCTAAATCGAGCAGCGAAAGGCTATGTTGTGTATCATTTTAATGCTTTCATAGTAAATTTGTTTAGAGCTTCCATGGGCCAGATGACACTTTCGATTCCTAACTGGGGAAGGAAAATTGAGGCAACGTGGTCATACCAGTGGAAGACAGAGCGGGTCCAGCGCTGTTGCAGGTTGGGTAGGTTAGCAGGAGGAGATATAGTAAATGTAGTTCTACCTTGCATCCAGACAAAGCCTAGGGTGCATCGTCCAATCCATCCAGGTGGCAGCCAAGGCCATAAGTTGGAGCCACATAGCCACTGAGTGCCATTAGGGGCTAACCAACGTGTGCTTGGTCGTCTATCCCAGTCAGTCTCAAACCAATCAGTATTTTTTAAGGTTATGATATGAGAACACATATGACAGGGAATTTTCCCATAGGTCGGGTGCTATTAGGCCATGTATCACAGGTGTGATTGGTTTGTTCCCAACATAGAGTGGACTTTTACTGAGTTGATCACTAGCAGGAGTGAGCCAAATATATTCGTCCCAAATTTGATATAGTCCATCCTGTGTGTATCAATAAATTGGGGACTTTACCTTTGGAACTTGTCGTTTATGATCCACCTGTGACAAGGCAAATCTAGTTAGTATTTGGGCAGTAGTGTTGAAGGAAAAGGTTTGCTTGTGGCCAGGGAACTCCCAGGTATCAGAGATGGATGGCCACAAGGAAACATTATGATTAGTAACAGATGAATCTTGCAGAAGAGCTAGAATCTAATATCCATGAATGTGTACTATACCTTCTACTGAAACATAATTTTTTTCTCCCTAAAATCACCCTCATTTTTATAAAAGATAGCCAAATTAAGATTAACTGGTCTGCCAATTATTTACATAAGTGCAGCAAGAATACCAATTGATTATACAGGCTTTTTAAATCTGCTTTGCTGGAATTTTTATGAAGAATCTCAGATTGAACTGTAAAGGCCTCTCGAGGCCAGAAAAGCCAAGCCAAGGACTTGCCATCAGATTTTGCCTGCAGTACCTACAGGTTTGGGTGGACTCCTCTCTTCTCGAGGTCCCCCAAAATATTCTGAGGTTCCTTGCACCTGCCAGATAAGCAAGCTTCCTTACTTACCGGGTAAGATTGCCAGAATCTCTGTAAACAAGGTACCAGGCCCATGTTTCCAAGTGGCTGTATTCCAGAATGTCCAATCTTTGTTCCTGAAAAGCTGTGTTGTCATATCTGAGCCTGTATGTTTCTCTCAAATATGACATTCCAGTCAAAGCCTTGGTAAGATAACCAATGTGTCCTGTTATAAGGAGACCAAATTCTTATTGAACTTATGCAAATAACTATATTGCCACGAAATAACCGTACTCACAAAGAGTTTCCAAATTCTGGAGGGATCAGGTCGGGAGAAAAAGACAAATGTTTCAGTTTTGCTTATAAAGATATATGTCACTAAATTGCTGTAAGTCATAGTTAGCATAAGAGAAAAGAAAGAAAGATTTCCTTAAACATGAGGAAACAAAACAAAACATCAAAACTCAGCAATATTTCAAACAGAAGTCATAAAAAATTATAATCATCCTCATCAGTTCACACAGTCCTGTATAATCAGTTCTTGAGCTTAATCTTCTGTTAGCAGGTCTATGAGCTTAGTTTCTGTTAGAATTCTGTAATTTCTTACCCGGTTCAGTTTTACAATCTGAAAGTTTATCAGAAACCTATAGTTTAGAACCTTTGTCATAATCCTTTCCAGGAATTTCTCTGAAGACGAAACATTTGCAAAAGCAAAAAGTATCACAGTAAAACAACTATCTGCAAATGGACAAAAGACTCAAAAGGGCAACTGACAAAGAAACTTGGCTATTTCTGTGACATATAACACTTTAAGATAATAACTGGAATTATGACTGATAACCAGAACAGATTAGAATTTTAGGAATGCTATATAATGTTAAGACACGTATATTAATAACATTCACCCACGTAATACCACATAAGAAAGTTTATCATCGCTTATTTGACAATGCTTCCCATGTAATTTAATAAACCAAATAAACCTAATTAATTTAGTATTTTTCCTCCTTATAGGAAGAGAGCAAATTTCTTTGAGAAGTCTCAGGGGCCCTCTGAAAATCCTCAGAGAAATTCTTCTTCCATCTACCAGGTCAAAAGAAAGCCTTCATTCAGGATTTGAATATTTTTTTTGAGGGAGAAGCTTGTCAAAAATATCAAAAGTTTTTAAAATGCTTGTTCAAATAGGAAACAATGATCACTGTTAAACAATGCTCAGGCATCCATTCAAAGTGACAACAGAGACAGTCAAGAGCAAACAACATCGTCAAAAAATTTTAGAAGAGACCTATTTCTTTCTGAATATAGGAAATTATTTTAACAAAACATAGATTTTCTGTCTATGTTGTTCTAACTCTATTAGAGCAGGCCAAAAGTTCAAGAAAATTATGCTTTGAGAGGAAACCAAATTTTAATTTCTGTACCAGCTTATTTTTAACATTAAAACTCATTCACTTAATTGGATTTACTCTAATTTTAGTCTACTTGACCAGGCATAAAACTCCTTTCAGAATTTCTCCTTCACAAACCTTCTACAACTTTCTTTTTGCCTTCAGAACTTGTCCCAAAGTCTGTCTTTTTTCCTTTCTAGTACTTTAGGGCAAACTTATCTTTCTTAACCCATCAAACAAAAATACTTCCATTCTTTATACCCTCTTTACTGAAAACATACATTTTAACTTTCCTTAGATACAGAGCTGTTTTCCTTATTAATTTCCAGTAGCTTTAATTATACAGGTTAATAAGAACTTTTAACCCTTAACAGACCATAGTAAACACTAAAAAGGTAAGCAATTATGAATTGTCTTTTATACCAGCATTCTAAACACTTCATAATTTCTAGAAACACGCTGCTTTACAATAACAGACCCAAAGACTTTTAGCCTCTCTGCAATAAGAAGCCAAAAGTAGATAACTTAGATAAGTTTAGCTGTAATGCTTGTGTGCTATCCAATCCAAAAATGACCCAGATGCTCAGATTTTTATCATTTAACTTAACTTGGCAAAACTCAAGATTGTTATCAAAACAATTTGGAAGCTTTTTTTTTTTTTTTTTCAAGTATACAGACCATAAAACAGTTATTGTACCCACAAAAACTTCATGAGACATTAGACAAAACTGGTCATCCTTTAAAGCTATTATTTTGCTGACGAATTTAACAGACAATGTGAACTTATTTGACTAGTAAACCCAGGCTGCATGCCTGCATCATATGCAAATACTGACAACTCTGACAAGAAGACTATTTTCAATCAAACCAACAAACTTAAACAAGCTTTCATTTGCCAAAAGTTAATTCACATCAAGTTAACTTGAAAGACATTGGATTAATTTCTACTACATTTAGAATTTATGTAAGCGCTTACTTGAAGCCAATTAAACAGAGCTCTTAATTTTGGTAACACCATCCGGAGGTAAAATATCACACATATAACGTACACATAGACACACGTACACAGAGACTGCACAGCTATTGTTAGAGCTATTGTTTTTTACCAATATTTGTGGAGAAGATACTCAAGATGCTAGATTTTTTGCAAGGGCACGCTTATGGCCGTTTTGCCTCTCCCCTCCTCTTTCTT